TCTTATCGCTACTAGGTAAGTCCTCAAATGGGACTTTACCAATTTCCGATCGGATTCAGAGCGGGTGGCCCTCCAATTACTCTCTAGGCATCTCTTCCGACGCTTCATCACCCTCAGCTCCTCGGAAAACCAAGGAGCCAAGGTAGACCGGCATCGGGTGAGGGGCCGCAAAGGCACGACCCGGTCCAGGGCCCCCGCGGCCGCACCATTCCAGGCGGCCACCAGGTCCTCAGTCGAGCCACAGGTCGACTGAGGACCTGGTGGAGAGGGGCTCAGCCTATTCTGAGGGAGAGGGGCTCAGCCTATTCTGCAAAGTACCTGAAGGCAAGATGAGAAGCAATGGATTTAAACTAATCAAGGAGAGAAGCAACCTAGAACTAAGGAGTAATCTCCTAACAGTGAGAACAACTAACCAATGGAAAGTCTTGCTTCAGAAGTTGTGGGTGTTCCATCACACAAGGCTTTTAAGAAGAGACTGGACAGCTATTTGCCTGGAATGGTATAGGGTCCCCTGCTTCAGTAGGGGGTTGAGTTAGAAGATTTCCAAGGTCCCTTCAAACTCTGTTATTCTGCTTGTGACTATGTAGGAATTCTAGGCTGATCCCTCTTGACACCGCCCACAGGTTCTGCAGTCCTTCTCATATGGGATAGTTTCAACTTTCCACCTAATTATCTCACAGGTTGTAGTGAGGATAAAAGATACATTGTTTATCTGTATGTATATGAGAAAGATGGGTGCTCTTCCTCACAGCTATATTGAGAGGTCAATAATCTTATGGGTAAAACTTCTTTAAAAACATTTTGTGTTTTCAAACCCTGCCCTGGCTATGGGACTTATAGATAGTCCTCAGGTTACAACCATAATGGCATTTGCCCATTACAAACAGGAGTAGTAATGGTTGTAAAACAGGTCAATCATGTGATCCACCTGAATTTACAGTGTTCGTTGTGGTGGTCAATTGTCAGTTTGGCCATCATCAAATATGGTCATGTGACCATGGGATGTGGCAAACAGTCATAAATGCAGCTGTGTTGCTGAGTGCCCAAAGTGCAGTCATGAGGGGGACGAACAGATCTAGGTTGTAAATCTCCTTTTTCAGATAGGCTATAAGTTGAGGACTACCTGTAAAAGCTTTGAAGGGGCAAGGAGGGAGATACCTTAAGAGACTCACAATCCACTACCAGTCATGTTTTTTCTGTCTTTCCCAAATGTCTGATAGTTTCAAACAGTGCTTTTTTTCTAAAAAAGAAAAAAGGTACCGGAACTCACACACATCATACAACCCGCCTTGCCTACCCTACAAGGTTCCATCCAAAAAAGGTGCCGGAACTCCGTTCTGGGCGTTCTATGAGAAAAAAAAGCCTTGGTTTCAAAGTCTTTAGATCAGGGGTGTCCAACCTTAGCAATTTTAAGACTTGTGGACTTCAACTTCCAGAATTCCCCAGCCAGCCATGGGCAGGACATGCTGGCTGGGGAATTCTGGGAACTGAAGTCCACAAGTCTTAAAATTGCCAAGGTTGGACACCCCTGCTTTACACGGTGCAATTCACACAATACGAACAATTGACCCCTAAATCTGTTAGCCCTCCTGAATCTTCATGGCATGAATGTATCTTGGGTTTCTTTGCTTTATCAATGGGAATATCAGTTTTTCCAAAATACCTGCATTTGATCTTCCATGAAGGTGATGTTTCCGTATCCAGGTCTTCCACTCCCTGAAAGAAATAGCCTGCAAGTGATTTTGTTTGTTCATTGAATTTCTAAGCTGGTCGACTCCAGAAAGCCTGAGAACTGTGTTTCTCAACCTTGGCATCTTCAAGGTGCCAAGGTTGAGAAACACTGCCCTAGAATGTTACATGGGAGGTCTTCTTTCAGGATGTTGGACAAAGTCCAACTTTTATTTCAGGAGACCTTGGATCAGTTTCAACCTGCCTGGTAGGAAGCTTGCAATGAGATGGAATCTATATCATGAGGAAGGTCCTCAGCCATGGCAAGCAAAACATCTGGATGAACTAATCGAAACAAATTGTGGATGACAGCACTGTTTTCCTACATTAACTAAATTGTTTGGATTCACACAACCCACTGAACCGTAAATTAACCACTAACCATAAAGGTGCAACAAATATTGAGCCACAAACTAGCAACCACATTAGCCTACTATGCTCTGTGCACTCATCTGTAGACTCTTTTGAACTCCATGGAGACAAGGGAAAAGAGGATGCAGATTAAATAAATAAGCATGTAGACTGATCTAGGATTCATACTTGTAAAGCTTGATTTCTCCTACTCTTAACTCAAATCACCCTTTGCTGTTGCTTAGCTGTATTTTGAGGATGACAAAATACAGATAGTCCTCAACCTATAACCACAATTGAGCCCAAAATTTTTACTGTTAAGTGAGACACTTGTTAAGTGAGTTTTGCCCCATTTTATGACCTTTTTTGCCACAGTTAAGTGCAGCTGATAAGTTAGTAATCCACTGATTACGTGAATCTGATTTCTCCATTGTCTTTGCTTGTGAGCAGGTAGCAAAAAGTGATCACATGACCTTGGAACACAGGAACAATCATAAATATGAATGAGCTGCCAAGCATCTGAATTTTGATCAAATAACCATGGGGATGCTGCAAAGGTCGTAACTGTGAAAAACAGTTTTAAGTCACATTATTCAGTGCTACTGTAACTTTGAACGAACTATTGTTAAGTTGAGGACCACCTATAACGGTTTTTTGGCACTCATGATAAAGCCTCATTAAGTATGGCAATTATAAATCCACAGAAAAGATTTGTTTTATTGATTAGGACAGAACACATTCCTAAGCAAATGTCCATTTTAGGGCACAATGAAAGGAGATGCTAGTTCGCAGTCTTATTCAACAGGAACTGAGATTTTAGGCACAAAAAGAATGCAAGTATGTCAAAGTTCACCTTTTTCTCAAAACCTCCCGCTTGTTCCCACTTTGGTCTGCCTCTCCTCCAGACCACAATCTTCCTAGTACATTCACTTTCCTCAGAAGCTGTTTTGCCTTATCTAAACATTTGTGACATTAAAAAAAAAAAAAGATACTATCACACAATTGCAGTTGCCTTCTTGACTTTTTTTTAAACCCCACTCCACCCTAGTTCCACCCTTGACCCATTCAGGTAGAAAAAAAAAAATTGGTCCTTGATATTCTCTGAGCTTGTTTGTTTTCTTGCAGCTGTTTCATCACCAAACTAGGTAACATCATCAGTGCTAGAAGGAATGGGTTTTGCACTGATGATGCTACCTAGTTGGATAATGGGTCAGGGATAGCCTAGGGTGGAGTGGGGTTTTAAAAAAGACAAGATGGCAATGGAACTGTGTGATAGCATCTTTTTTTTTTTTAATTTCACAAGCTCATATTGCAAGGGTTTTGAGAAGTGATGGACAAGCTGGAGATGTCAATTTATCCTTTGCTAGAGATTCCATTTTCACCCCAGATCTTCTATTGCTTCCAACTTGTCCAAAGAGGTTGAAAGTGTTGACCAAACTGCTCAGGAGCCAAATTGGTCCAGAGATCTCCAGTTGGTGACCTCTGGACCAATTTGGCTCCTGAGCAGTTTGGCCAGCACTCTCAGCCTCTTTGGACAGTTGGTGATGACCTCTAGTTTATGTTCCTGTGAATCAGCTGGACACCACCTTTAGGGCTGCAGCCTGATCCTCACCCATCTTTCCCAGTCCTTTTCTGCAACAATGGAGTAAGATGGCATCTTGCTGGGTGAACAGCTCAGCCTCTCCCCTGGAATGACATAATGGATAAGAGAAATGTTATCTCACTGCATCAAGATAAGTTGAGATCACCAATTTCGGGGAATCCACCGGTCTTTCAATCCACCTTAAAAGATCTCCCTCCCCTCCCCTTCCCTCCCTCTCTCAATTGCATCTCCCCGGGGTCCCCTGGGTGTGAGGAAGGGAAAGAGAGGAGAGAAGATCTGTGCATTTTAGGAGTGAGGGGAGGGGAGGGGGGGGGAGGCGGCTTAGGCTAGGAGATGCAGAGAAGGAAGAGAGAGAAAAAACAGGCGAGGGAAGAGTAAGAGAAGGGGAGCCGGAGAGGAAAAGAGGGGGGAAGAGAGAGAAGGGGGGGGGAGAGATCTGAGATAAGGCAGGGAAACCAACCCTCTATAAGAAGAAGTGGGGAGAAAGAAGAACGGCTGAGGAGGACGGCAGAGAAGAGACTGAAGGAGCGATTGCAGAGAAAGGGAAGGTGGAAGGAGAAGAGAAAGAGTGAGAGGGGGGGAACATAAGAAAAAAAGGGGGGAGAGAAAGATAGGTAGAGAAAGAAAAGCTAGAAGAGCAGAGGGAGGGAAAGCAGAAGGTAAGCCGGGGAAAGAAGGGGGCAGCGCGGAAGAGGCTAGTCCGCTGGGAGGCAGGGAGAGGCGGTGAGAAAGAAAGAAAGAAAGAAAAGAAAAGAGAGCGAGAAAGAAGTAAAGTTAAGGACGCCTCGCAGGCAGCAGCGTCTCCTTCCCGCCACCCTCCAGATCCAGTCCCAGCGACCCCAGCCGCGGAGCGGGCAGTCCCGCCACTCCGGCGCCTGGGGGGGGGGGCAGAGAGAGAGAGGACGAGGCGGCGGAGGGGAGGCAGCTCTTCCACCCGCTCTTCCCACCGACCCCCACCCCGAGTGTGCAAACTCTTCACGGCCGGAGCTCCTTCGCCTCCCCGGACGCCACCCGAGCATCTTCCGCATCTAATTGACGTGGGCGGCGGGGGGAGGGGAGTTGGTGGTATCCCCGGGAGAAAGGGCGGGAGGAGGAAGATGGAGGCGTCGAGGAAAGAGACCTAGGGAGCGGGAGAGCGAGAGGGCATGGAAAGGGCAGGGGGCTTCCGAGGATGAGGGCTCGCTCGCGGGGCGCATAAGGGCCGGCCGCCAGGAGGCTCGACTTCCGCCTGTCTCCGGAGCCTGTGAACGGGGGTCTTTGCAGCGGGATGCTGAGGAGGGGGCCGCTCAGGTTTTAAGCCCCCTCCTGACCCACCAGGATGTGGACCGGACCTGGCAGGGGGCTCTGCCTGCTGGGAGCGCCGGGGCTGCTGCTGGTGCTGCTGAGAGCAACTTGTATGGCTGGTAAGAGAGAGAGAAAGTGGGGAGGGGGTGAGAGAGAGAGATTGGCTTGGAATGTTTTTTTGGCTGCGGGGGGGGGGGGAAGAGATTGAATTGTTTCTTGTAAAAAGAAAGGGATTTCTGTGGAACAAAAAGATGAAGCCAGTTCCAGTGGAATCCCAGTCAGGGGTAAGTAACTCTTCCTAACCTGCCCAATTTTTTTTCCCATTCATATTTGTGAGCAGGGGAGTACGCCTGCCCCCTCATTTATGGACATCCATTAATCGGAGATAAAATCAGTTGTTCTGAGGGGGAAATTTCTCTGTCACGTTCTTTCCTTTCACTCTCGCTTTTTATCTATCTACTATAAATGCATCTTTTCCAACACCTGATCAGCCACAGCTTAAATTGCTCCCCAGACTGTGCTGTTCTGTCTCAGCCTCAGGGCATGACCTGAAGAAACGGCACCAAAGGAGAGGCAAAAGTGTCTCTGAGCATGTGAAGTATCTTTCTCCATATTCCCTACTGTTGAGGAGCAGCTTTGATTTGTTCTCACCTTACAGGTTTCCAGTGGCTGGGGATATAACCTGCCAGTCTGAGTATCTATCTATTGTCTTAACATTTCAGCATTTGCAGTTTTTGAGTTCTGGACAGTCTATTCAGGAAGGACAAAGAGAAGGAAAAGAAGTTTAGATAATCTTTAGGACAAGGGGTAATAAACAGAAAGATGTATGCTCCTGTCCTCTCACCAACTGCCTTTGCTGATTTACCATTTTTCCATCCATCTTCCTCTCCTTCCTCTTTTTCTAGTGCAATTTGTTCCTGCAAAGACCTACGAGGACTGGTGGGCATACAAGGAAACACTTCACGGAAGCTTTGTGCCAGGTACAAAATGCTCCATGCCTGGATAGTGGTAGTGGAGAACGCTCCAAAGAACAAAGAATAGCTTATCTTCTTTAGATGCCCTCTAGATGCCATCATCCTAGATGTTCCTTCAAGGTTTGTGACCTCTTCATGAGGGAGACATTTCTTGTGACCAAAACATGTATTGGGGCCAGCGAATATCCTTCATGTTTAATACATGTCTTTATTTTTTTTCTTACTACATCCTATTGACCAATGCTATATGGTTTACAGCCACAGGATATTGTAAAGATCAGCAGCTGAATCTGCTTTTGACTGATGATTTCAAAGAGGGTTCAGCAAAAAAAAAAAACCACTTGCTTTGAATTCAGAAATCTAGCTAAAAGGTTCAAAGAGTGATTGATAAGAAAACCTACACTGGAAACTCAGATGTTACTTCCAACATGGTGCCATCCAGATGTGCTGGACAATCCTTTCCAAGATTCCCTGATGGCATGGAAATTTTGGGAAATGTAGACCAACACATTTGGATTTTACTTGGTTTGGGGACAAATGACCCAATCATTTAAAATTATTTAAAGGAGCTTCTTACATTCTTAAAGCTTAGCTAGGGGGCAGCACTAAGCCAAATTTGGCTAATTTCAAAAAGCTTAGCAGAGTTGGACCTGGCTTGTATTTGCAGAACAGACTATTAGAAAACTCTTAAGGCAGGGATCTTCAAACTTGGCCTTTTTATGAATTGTGGACTTCATCTCCCAGAATTCCTCACCAACATGCCTGGCTGAGGAATTCTGGGAGTAGAAGTCCACAAGTCATAAAAGGGATAGGTTTGAAGACCCCTGCTCTAAGGAATTTGGCTAGTCTGGAAAGCCAAAAACAAGCTTCCAAGATAGGGCAATGGTCAACTACCTCAGTATCATTGCCAAGATATTGATATGGCAGTTCCCATAAAGTCACTAGGAGTCAACCTTGACTCAAAAAAAAACAAAAAACAAAAAAAATCCCTTTAGCTTTACTTGTCATTATGAAAGGTTAGAGGGACCAAGAAGACAGACTGTGTATTAGTTGTTTAAATGTTTATTTTTATTTTGGGGGAAATGGTTCTATTTATGCCCAAGCTGGGGGATGCTTCCATGATAATGAGGCATTCCTCTGATTGCTGATGCAGTAGTCCACTATAAGGCCTATCACATTGGCCTGCAAGCCTTTAGCATCACTGCCAGAAACGACCCCTTACCCTGATCCATCTAAACATATCTCCAAAAAAAAGGGGGGGGAGAGAATGGGGAATTGTCACAAAGAAGGCCAAATGGAAAGATTAAAATCCTCTGACCTGGCAGGCAATTTGATATCTGCAGAAGTTCAAAATTGAAGTATATATAAAATGACCAAATGTATGATGAGAGAGATGACAGACCAGCAGGCTGATAAAGGAACTGGGTTGCTAGATCAAATTCTAAGTTAAGAATTTTTGCTCCTGTGATGACATTCCTAAGCCCAATTTTCAAAGTTTGCTTTTTTGCCGTATCTCAGTCAGAACCAACACAATCTTTCACATTGGCCCTTTAATAAATTCAACACATCCTTTATTTAATAGGAAGGCATGCTTACCTCTCATCAGTTGACATAAAAGAGTGTGTGTCCAAGGGCAATCAGCATCTGGTAATAGTGGGGATGGGGTGCAGGCAGGGGTGTTTGTGCAGGGAGAGGGACAACAAATTTAAGATGGTGGCCATAATCATATGCTTTTATATTATGCTACAGTTGCCACAGACATAAAAAAGGAGTGATATTTTGATTACATGGTGGTGGTGGCCACAATATTGATTTTTGGGACCTTCTCCCCAGAGATTCCTTTGGGCGTGAGGGAATTCTCCCCTTGATCAGGAATGGACTGTTGGTTGGTTTCTCACCCTTCTGTTTGGAAGCATTGATGGCTTTTCTCCCTCCCATCTCATTTCTCAGCCAGAATTAGATCACCTTCCCTTTCTCCTTCCCCTCCAGGGCTCTTGGCTTCTTCCAAACTTCCAGACATGGTGATGGGGGAAACCAATTCCCCGTTTCATTTAGGCAGGTTTAGTCCACGCAAATTGGAGCACATCTGCATAATTTATTCTGAGCTCAGGAATGGGGTTTCCTCAGCGCGGGATGTTGGCTCCCCTTCTAGGCAGCCCATTAGAAGGGAAGGCCAGAGGAGAACAGCTGTCTCACCAGTTACCCCCTCTGTCTGTCGAAGGCTGGGGATGCCGCGCAGAGTCCCAAGGGTGGTGGTGCCGAGGAAGAGGAAGAGAAACGTTGTGGGCTTCCTGTGAGGGAGGGGACGCGGCTGGGGGAGAGCGCTACTGCGCCGCAGCTGTACACAGTGCAGAGCTAAGGTGGGGGCTGGGCTCAGCTTGGCAACTGCAAGAGGCTGCATTAATATTTAATATCTCCCTTGCTTGTTCCAGCAATGCAGCGAACAGGAGGCGAAGAGAAACAGTCACAGTAGATGGATAGTTGGGTGGGTGGCTGGGCTGAAGGGGTGGGCTTGTGAGTGTGGGGCACAAAGCCACAAGGTTCTTTTCTTCCATCACCCCACCCACTCGACCTGCCTGGGGGAACGTGGAAAAAGCCCATTGGAAAGGAAAAAATAAATAATTAAGTGTACACATATAAATGAGGATACAAAGATCTGCCAGAACCATTGAGGGACTGAGACTGAAACAAGCTGGCAAACACACGTACAAAAATGAAGTATGCCCAGGAAAGACAGCCTAGAAACATAGTTTGACTAAATGGCATGCATACACATTTTCCCCAGAGAGAAGGAGGCTACTAAAAATCTCTGTATTTGTGCAGGCACACACTTACTTCAGTGTATACAGTTTGTGTGTATTGATTCTAATGCACCACCTGATGACAATTTGCATTCTATCAAAATAACACAGTCTTGCCCATCCTGGTAACTTAGGGCTCCTATGATCCTTGGGCTGGGGAGGATGGACATTGCAGTCAGCAGAACTGGGAGTATCTATTTGGGACTGTCTGAGAACCCAAGAACAGCTACAACAATATCATGCCTATTCAGGAATATCTCCTAAGGCAGCTCAGAAACGATCCTGGGAAATAGAGACACATGTTTGCCCTACTGATTTTATATTTGCAAACGCAGGAAGGGCTTCAGGAAAGGCTGTGGCCATTTCCAGCATCCCTGCCCCATTGCTGTCCTTCAGTGCATGGGATTCAATCCTACATTGATTTGCAGTTCCATCCAGCTTCTCTTCTGTATTGTGGTTCTTTACATTAGCTATGTGCACAGATGCAACCAGAGGAGGAGGAAACACACTGAAGTGCTTGTAATCTTCCTTCAGCCGCCCACACATATTGGAGGCTGTTTTCAAACAAATGCACACGCACGCACAAACACATACACAGAGGTGCATTTGCTGAATGGCTCCCCTGATGCCAACACTCTCCCTTGTCTGTAATTGCACCCTAGAGAGCCAGGGATAAAAATATTTCCTTGGCTGAGAGAATATGTTTATTCTCTCTCTCTCTCTCTCTCTCTCTCTCTCTCTCTCTCTCTCTCTCTCTCTCTCTCTCTCTCTCTCTCTCTCTCTCTCTCTCTCTCTCTCTCTCCCTCTCTCTCCCTCTCTCTCTCTTGCTCGCTCTCTCTCTCTTTAGGTCCTCCCTTCTGGGGTCTTGTGAATTCAGCATGGAGCCTCTGTGCCATTGGCAAACGCCAGTCTCCTGTGGATGTCAACACAAGTCAAATGATTTTTGATCCCTTCCTCCCTCCACTTCGGCTCAGCATTGGTGGAAAAAAGGTGCGTCTGGATGCACACACTGGTCTCTAAGGTTGATGGAAAATAATTCCCAGCTCAGCCTTCTTTGACTGAAGCTGGAATCGGGGCATTGCCCCTCCAAGCCTTCTGGAGGGCACCAGGTTGGGGAAGGCTATCCTCGCAAGCATCGGTGACCAGGAGTGCAGCTATTATCGTAAAAAAAAATAAGTTGCACTAATGGCTAATTTCTGGAGCACCTAAGTGCAAGTAACTTCACTCAGCATTGAAACATTTGGATTCATTCCAGATTTTCTCATATTACCGTACTTGGTGACAAAATCTGAGATCGACCCTTTTGTTTTGCCCTCCTCAGCTAAATCCCCAAAGTGGTGAGCAAAGAGGAATCTGCTAAAGTCCTGGGAATATCTGCTCCTTCCCAATCCTCCATGGACTCAGAATTCCTAAAGATGCTTTGTTTGCTCCAAGGTTCATTTCTTGGGGAAATAAAGGGGAAATACAGGTAGTCCTCGAGTTACAACCCTATTGAGACCAGAATTTTTATTGCTAAGCAAGGAGGTTGTTACGTGAGTCATTCCCAATTTTAGAATCTTTTTTTGCCCTGATTGTTCAGCGAATCAATGCAGTTAAGTGAATCCTGTGGTTGTTAAGTTAATCTGGCTTCCCAGAGTCATTGACTTTGCTTATTGGAAACCAGCTGGGAAGGATATAAACAACAATCACAGGACCCCAGAATGCTACAACAGTTGTAAATACATGCCTGTTGCCAAGCGCCTGAATTTTGATCACATGATTCTGGGAATATTACAACAGTCATAAGTGTGAGGACTGGTCATAAGTCATTTTTTAAAATGCCATTGTAACTTTGAATAGTCGCTAAACAAATGGTTGTAAGTCGAGGACTATTTGTATATCTTGCCATTCTTTCAGGAGCTGAAGGCAGTATATGTAACACTCCCTCCTATTTTTGCCCACAATCACAATCCTATAAGGCAGGTTGGTTGAGAGAGAGGGCTGGCCCCAAATCCCCCAGGAACCTTGTATGGCTGAAGCAGAACTGGAAGCCATCTCCAAGTCCAACATTTTTGATACAATATTTTATGTAATACAGCAACTGCATTTTGTTAAACCCAAGTTTAGGGTTTGGAGAGTTTCGTAAGTCCAATTATCCCAGTTTTCTTTCCCAGTCAGGGAAAGGAATTACATCTTCTCTGCCCTCACCAGAATGCTGCCAATTGTTTTTGTCACATCTCAAGGGGCACTGGGTCTCTTCAAAGGTCATGGTGAACCATAAACTGGGTTTGTTTAGCAGCAAAATTATCTTAGACACCCATTTTATGATCTGTAGCCAAACAAAGTTCAGTTGTCAAGATACAAATATCATAAAAGGAAGTTGATCTGTAGAGAAAGTGCTACTTTACATGTTCCTGACCATGAAACAGATTGCAAGAAGCATTAGCCTTCAACAGTGTGGAAGGAGTTGATTTTTAATAGATGACATCATCATCAGTAATAGTAATAATTATTGTAGCTGAGAGGTGTCAAACTGGTGGCCCACGGGCCAGATGCAGCACGCGCAGGCCATGCTCACCCCAGCTCTGCAAAGGCAAAAAAATGTCATGATATGTCATGATACATCATGTGACGTGATTGAGTTTGTCACCTGTATTGTACAGTAGATCCACTCTGCTTCCAACAGGCACTTAGTTTCTTTTCCCCCCTCCCTGCAAACAGTGCTATGGAGGGCAGTTCAGTCATGTCCCTCATTAATGTCCAGAATATGGAGGACATGAGGGTATTATATAAGTCCTCTCTTCAGTCCACAGCCTGGCAGGGCTCCATGGTCATCAAGGAACTCTGGGAGGTGAGGCAGCAGAAATGATGGCTGATGTGCAGGTGGCAGAAAACAACAAAACAAGGTTGTGTTCAGGGCCACATATGGTGATAAAAGTGGCACAACCAATTCGCTGCAGGACAAGAGTTACACTAATATTGAAGAAGTGGATGAACAGAATTAGTAAAGAAAGAGTGCCAAAGGAGGGACAAAATAAAATGTGAAGGACAAAAATTATAATATTTTAAATAATAAAATTGAATTGTTTAATTGTCCTCAGTGAATCATCCTGTGGCAAGTTGGCCATGGTGAATTGGCTATGCCTTAAACTGGCCCTCTTTAAGGCAACCTTTTGGGGGCACAATAGGACTGGAGATGCCCTCTGGGAGCACCACGACAAGTATGCTAAAGATTTCACTGACAAAGTCAGCTCGTGTTCATTCCATGTTGGTAGAAGGCAGTAGGACATGGTCTTCAAGTTGATCTGGAAGTCTTCAACTTTGCAGATTGATGCTGGAGACTGAGCAGCTGCCAGCTGACCAGCTGCCTGGCTTCTTCAGACTGTTAGAGATAGGATAAACAGTTGGATTTAGAAGATGATTAATGCCCCTGAGGAAGAGAGTGATGCCTGCTTCCTTGAAATAGGTGATGATGACGATGCTCCCTTTTGATCCAGCACTGGTAAAGAACTTCTCTCCAATCATCGACCTTCCCTTTTTAGGAAAAGCTTTGCAGAAGATGCTGGGATGGTAACTGGAAAGTTATCTGAATACCCTGTAAGTGATACTGTGTGGAAATAGCCTCTATTGTCACTATTGTCTCCTCCTGCAGATTAGTGGAACCATGTACAACACAGGCCGACATGTCTCTTTTCGTCCAGATCCAGTACAGCTGGTTAATGTTTCAGGAGGACCTCTGCCATACAGTCACCGGCTCCAAGAAATACGGCTGCATTTTGGCAGTGAAGATGGATTTGGCTCAGAACACCGGATAGATGGCGACAGCTTTTCTGCTGAGGTGAATACAACTCTTGTTCAAACAGGAGCAACACCACTGAAGGGGTCCTCTGCAGATTTACTTAAAGTTTTGTCAGGGGTGTTGATGGGAGGGGGAGGGTGGTCAAAATCCGCAAGATGGCAAGGGTGGCAAGAAAAGAGAGAGGGAGAAAGAGGGAGGGAGGGAGAATCCTAGAAAAGTCCCTTTTTTACATTGGCCACTCTAGGACTTTGCCTCTCTGTTGGGAGCAAGGAGAGAGGGTAGCTTACCTCCTGATAGTCCTCTTTTTTGTTTGCGTGACTCAGCTGAGGAAGCGTTAGTTTAGTTTGAAACAACCTCAGGGCTTTCTTGGGCTAAAATTAATCTCCCGTAGCTCTGCAGTTGACTGCTTTGTAATGTTCAGCTACCCATTAGCCTCAGTCATTTAAATAGGTTATGCAAACAAGGTCAGTGTATATATATTGGTACTGAGGTAAAAAATTAGTTTTGTTTGTATTAGAATGCAAATTTATCTCACAATTTTGGGTAAGCAATACCACAAATCAACTCAGAATTATTGTTGGGCTTAGCTGCATGTGGTTTGTTTCCTCTTGCTCCTTGTCTTCATCTAATGAGAACTTTTAATACCAGACCATGATAGTACAAAAATGCACCACATTAGGAAGAATTGTTTGCAATAACTGTATTAAGCAAAACTGTAAACAAAAACGAATGTTTCAAGAAGTATGCTTAAGAAGAGATATAAATTTTTCACAGTTCTGAAGCTTATTGAATTGAATTTGACAGCCAAACAAGGTAAATAAATATTTATTTATTAAACAAATGTATATGGCCAGCCAGCTCATACACAGGTGACTTTGGGTGGTTCACAATATTAATTCACAACATCAAAACCCACAAAACCCCAACCCATCCGTGTCATCAACAACACAATCAAATCAACCTCTTGATGGGTTATATCTCCATTTGTGGTGCCCAGGCCCCCTGACAAAACCACAACTTCAGGAACCTTTGGAGAAGCAACAGGGTGGGGGCCAATCATACTTCGGGGAGAATGATATTCCCTAGAGAGGCCCACCACCAAGAAGGCCCTTTTTCATGGTTTCACCAGATGTACATCTCTACTAGATGGGGCCTATAACAATGGTGGCGAACCTATGGCACGGGTGCCAGAGGCGGCACTCAGAGCCCTCTCTGTGGGCACGCGCGCCGTCGCCCCAGTCCTAGGCCTTCAGCTGGGTTTTATAAAACCTTTTCACTTTAGGCCTGCACCGCCGTGTGCAAAAAAAAAAAGGTTCAATCAATCAGTCAATTTCAACTTCTCACGGAAAAAAAAAGATCTTGCAAAGTTGGAATTGATTGATTGAACTTTAGTCCCACCCAGTCTGCCGTTACCACCACAGCCATGCCCACCCAATGGGCCATACCCACTCAATTGGCCACACCCAGCCAATGGGCCACACCCACCTGGCACCCGACAATGCATAAGTGGGTTTTGGGTTGCAGTTTGGGCACTCAGTCTCTAAAAGGTTCGCCATCACTGGCCTATAACATACCCTTACTTTCCATCCTGGTGAGCAGGGTGGATGTAATAGGGGAGATGCAGTCTTTCGAATAGCCTGGCTCCAAAGCCATTTGTAACATTACTTTTACTAAGTAAAACTGAATTGAAAAGAATCACTTTTTCCTTTGTCCTTTCCCTTAGGTGCAGTTGATCCACTACAACCAAGAACTCTACCCCAACATTTCCGAGGCTTCACGCAATCCCAATGGTTTAGCTGTCATTTCTATCTTTGCCAATGTAAGTGCATTGCTGCGACTGCAAGGGGGCATCAGGTGGGGCTTGAATAGGCAAGGGGAGATGGGAATTTAGGCAGCAAGGAACAATACCTTGGATGGATTTCCACTTGCAGATTGGACCAAATCCTAACTCTTTCCTGACCAGGCTGTTAAACCGAGAAACGATTACCCGGATCTCCTATAAGAGTAAGTGGATCAAGTATGAAAGATGTGGATCATATAAAGAAGCTATTTGCAAAAGTGGCTGAAAGCTGAAAACTTAAATTTTTAAGACTGGAGGGGACTAAGTGGGAATTAATACACACAAGGATTCCTCTTGGAATATTGATGTTAGCAAAGCTTGACTGTATCCAGTAACTTCTTTACTTCAACAAAAGATTTAGGGAGGAAAAGACTGTTGAATATGACAGCATGAAGGTTTTGAATACATGATTCTGTGGTCAAATAGTAGAACTGCTACTTTCGATGGGTTATTCATTAGTATTTATTTATTTAGCATATGGCATATCATACATGGACTTGCAAAATATATTAACATTTCACTTAGATTAAAAAAACACAGATATGAATGTTAAAAAGATCTATATTCAGATACCAAGGTCTAACCAATTCATTAGTTTCTTGGAAGTATCAGAAAGATCACAACTGGTACCTAAATGGATTTTATTAGCAGAATTCTGCCCATCTTCTTAAAGTAGCCATGATATCTATTTCAACAGATGATGCTTATCTTCTACACGATCTGAGCCTTGAAGACCTTTATCCAGAGACATTTGGTTTTATCACTTACCAAGGATCCATGTCAACCCCTCCATGCTATGAAACAGTCACCTGGATTCTCATTGACCGTCCCATCAATATTACCTCCGTTCAGGTAGGACCCTAGGACGCATCAATGCTGGACAAAGTCTCTTTAACCTCCCTTTTGTCATTTCCCTGCCTTCCCCTGCTCTCTTTGACCCCGTTGCTGTCCTGGTGTCTCCTCCACCATTCCTGAGCACTTGTTTCCCATCCCTCTGTTCTTCAGATTCACTCCCTTCGTCTTCTCAGTCAGAACCTCCCTTCTCAAATTTTCCGGAGCATGAGTGACAACTCAAGACCTCTCCAGCCCCTTTTACACCGAAGCCTTCGGGGCAACCGAGACCCACGGCGCCCCACTAAACGTTGCAAAGGAGCCTCCTACAGGCTACATGGTATGCGACCCTGGAATCCCATATGAAGAGCTCTTCCACTACACTCCCATTCCACTTCTTTATTTTGAGTCTGTCTTCTTTTTTAAGTTTTCCTAAAGTTGCTCAAACTGGAAGATCTTTTTCCTTTTTACCCTCTCAAATCCCCTATTTGGTTGAGTAGTAGGGGCTAATGCAAAATAAGTTGGGAGTTTCAGGCTGAGTTCCCCCCAGCTTTCATACAAATATAGCTACTGTATTTGGGCTGCAAATATTCAGATGGCAGGAAAGAGATGCAAGAACTCTTGACACTTTAGTACTACCTAGTGGTCATCCATATGTTTGCAGACCAGATGTTGAGCTATAACACTCTGGGATGTGCCCTGAAATATATAAGCTAGACTGCTGCTCTCAGATGTCACCATGTCACCATCAACGTTGTCACCTTGAACAGACAATCCAATTGGCTTATAAATGCAACTGGGAAGGGGGGAGTCTATTTTGTCCTTTAATAGGGGAAGTAAAATGGTTTATCCCAGTCAGAAGATAAGAACAATTGGGAAATAATTTGTGGGCCTCTGTAGTATAGAATGTTTTGATGACTCTACCCCATCAAGAATAAACCTGTCAGATTTCAAAAGCCTTTGTAAACCAGTGACAACAGGCCTAGGACTTATGCACCTGTCCTTCTTGCCTAATGCAAAGACCAACCACTAGAATATGATATTTATTTGTTTGTTCGTTTGTTTGTTTATAATATTTATTGGCCGGCCATCTTACCGTAGGATAACTCTGGCGGAATGGGGCAACTTGTCACAGTCAACTCGCTGGGAGACAACTCGCATTGGTCAACTCACCACAGGACAACTTGCTGCGGGACAATTCAACAGTTCAATTTAATTATTTAAAACAGTTAAAACATATTTTGATTTTTGTCATTTACATTACATTTTGTCCCTTTTTGGCATTCTTTCTTTATATTCCACTATTTCTTTGATATTAGCATAACAGTGAGTTGTCCCATGGCGAGATGGCTGAAGCAAGTTGGCTGTGACGAATGAATTGTCATATAGATCCAACTCTGGGAAGCTTAGAGTTACATATAATCTAAAACATAAAAAAATAAAAACAAACATTAAAACAAAGACACATGGGGAGGGTGGGGGCGGAGTGGGGGGGAGGGGGGATCTGTTACTACTCAATCAACCACCTCTATTGTTCCCCCACTGGGGCCCCAAACTGTCTGGCAGAGCCAAGTCTTTAGGCCAGGGGTAGGCAATCTTGGCTCTTTTATGACTCGTGGACTTCAACTCCCAGAATTCCTGAGCCAGCCACACTGAGGGGAAAGGGAGAGGTTTCCAAGCTGAGCCATGCTGGCTCAGGAATTCTGGGAGTTGAAGTCCACGAGTCATAAAAGAGCCAAGGTTGCCTACCCCTGCTTTAGGCCCTTACAAAAAGATAGGAGGGTTGGGGCCAACCTCACATTGGGGGACAAGATGTTCCAGAGGGCAGGAGCAACAGCAGAGAAAGCCCTCTTCCTGGACCCCACCAGCTGGAATATTCAGGCTGACAGGACCCACAGCAGGCCTCCTCTGCTGGCATGAGTGGTACGGGGTAATCCCGGTGGGGTGAGATGATTCCACAAGTAGCCTGGACCCATGCCATGAAGGGCTATCCTCCTCTAGCCATCCTGAGCCCACCAGGAAGGCCTCATCCACATATCAAAAAGCAGCATTCTCCAACCCGTTGGCACAAAAAGGGGGGGGCGGCAGGGAGAGCCGGTCATCTGCCTTCTGTACTTCATTTCATTGTAGGCCAATACACACCTAGTGTGTGCTGTAGCAAGCACACCTCCATGTCTCCAGTCATTAATCATTATCCTCCATGTCCATTTCATCCTAGGCTGCTATACTGGGAAAATTATGAACCGTTTGGAGATTTTTATCTATTTTTCTTTAACTTATTCACTTTGTTTCTTTTTAAATCAGCCTTATGAAAATGACCCAAAGCAGGGAAATGGCAGAGAGACGGGAGGCTGGTAGGAGAACAGGAGAGGCTGCAAGTAGGCTGTTTGTGTGCATATATGGTTGCGCACATGGGAGTGCAAGCACAAGAAAACAAACAAACTTTAAACTTCTTGACAACTGTAAAGAAAAGGAAGAAAGGCCAGTTCCCACCACCACCCCCTTCCTTATCCCAGTATGGATGTACCTCCCATTTTTCCTGGACTAAAAGACCATGATGTTTTTGGCTTGCTGAAGCTTTCCTGTCATGCTTATAAGCGCTAGAAGAAGGCACCCCTTTGGATTGAGTGCAGGGGCTTGAGTGAAATTACCCCAAATTAGTCAGTTTTCCTTTCTTATTTAAGCCAGAGCAAGAAGAGTGAAAGGGATGAACCAGTGAGATGTTCATTTCAGGAAGGAACTCCTGCTTTGTGATACAAGTAGTCCTTGAACCTACCACCGCAATTGAGCCCAACATTTCTGTTGCTAAGTGAGACATTTGTTAAGTGAACTTTGCCCCACTTTATGACCTTCCTTGCCACAGTTGTTAAGCGAATCACTGTGGTTGCCAAGTTAGTGAAACGGATGTTAAGTGAATCTGGCTTCCCCATTGACTTTGCTTGTCAGGGGGTCACAAAAGGGGATCATGTGACCCTGGGACACTGCAAATTTTCATAAATACGAGTCAGTTGCCAAGCATCAGTTGCCAAGCATGACTCGTGGACTTCAACTCCCAGAATTCCTGAGCCAGCCATGCTGAGGAGAAAGGGAGAGGTTTCCATGCTGAGCCATGCTGGATCAGGAATTCTGGGAGTTGAAGTCCACAAGTCATAAAAGAGCCAAGGTTGCCTATCCCTGCCTAGAGAATGCAGCTGAAACAAAGGAGTTAGTGGTTGCTAATTCTTTTCATCTCTCTTCCTCTTCTTTTTTGCAGTTGATGGAACACAGCCTCCCAAACCAGGCATGTAGTTTTGCTGCAAGCTCCTGAATGTCTGAGTGTGTCAGTTGCTCAAAATGCTCAAAGTGTCCAACTGAGGAAGCTACAATCTCCCATCTCTGAATGATTGCCACAGCTTCTATTGTGGGAAAGACAACATGTGGGGTACCAGGGAACCAGGCTGGAATTCCTGCCTTGGGGTGTTTGGAAAACTCTGATCACAATAGGGTTGGGTTGCCAAAAGCTTAAACAATGAAATGAGGGCTATTAATTTGCAGAATATGGCACATCTCCCCCAGTGCTATAGCCTAATATTTAAAGAAGGCGGGAGCATCCAGGAGTGTGAGGACTAGAATCTTTGCATTGCCTCCCTGCTAAAGTAATGCTGTCTGTTCTGGAGATCAAATTTATTCAAAATCTCTTATCAGGTGGAGGCAATGTACCCCAAATTATATACAGAACTAAACTGTATCAGGCAGACAGTTGTATTCCCAATACTAAATGCACCTTAGAATGTTTCCTCAGAAATGCAGAGGAACATCCTTATAATATCCTGGTGAGACCCCAATATGTTTGGGGGGACATTCTGAGACCCACAGGAGCCTTGGGACTAAAAATTATAGTGGGATAGTTTTCTCCAAGACTTTAAAATGCCATGAATCTCAGGAAGTTTAAGAGGGGGGGAATTGCATTACATGGGTGTAACCCCACAAACTCTTAAGCTTCAATTGTTCTTTTTAAGAAGAGTTAACTTGGAACTTTAATCTGGGTAAAACTTGAGAGAATCTGGGGTGGAAAACAAATATGATCTCCCTCCCTACTCTATCCTGGGGGGGAGGGAGGGTTGAGAGAACCAGTAAAAGAAGGGATCTGTACTTATCACTTCATTCTAAATGGCCTTCAACAGCCCTAACTGTAAAACAGGAGAGGGGATATTTTTATTGCCAAACGAACCCACCTTTTGAATATTGATGAGTATTATTAACTTAAGAAAAACACTGGTTTTCCAAACAAGCTTTGTTTTCTTTGGAGTGATTATTTCATTGAGGCAAGGGCTTAATCTGTCACTTTTAAGGGGCAGGGCCCAATTCACACCATGTTGGGATGGTCACACAGATATTCAAGAAGGGCCAAGAAAAATTGGTGGCTGCAACTGCATGATTGAAGTGCTGCCCCCTTTTTTGATGTATGTGGGGGTGGGCCTACAAGCCCAAAGTAGGAATACATTTATATTTATATGCACACCCCTATACTGTACATCATGCATATGCACGCATACATAGGAAACTCTGCAATTCTCACATATCGATAGAAGAGAATATTTGTATCTGAGGGTTGAACTGTGGGGTCCTTGGTGCTGTCTGAACTTGTTTTTTTTCTTGCAGACATTTCATTACCCAGCTAGGTAATATCATCAGTGTTAGAGGGAAGCAGGTTTTATTGTCTGTTTATATACAAGTGGCTTGTCCTGTCAGTATTAGTGAGAGTGTTCTAGGTGGTTGCTTAATTAGGCTTTGTTTTCTGCAAGAAAACAACCAATCTCAGAGAAGACCAAGGACCCCACTCTCACTCTCTCTCTCTCTCTCTCTCTCTCTCTCACACACACACACACACACACACACACACACACACACACACACACACACATGCATGCACACAAGCAAAAGTGTGCCTTCCCCCTACCCTATACAGAGAAAGCCTACTCATGCTTCCTAGATAGAACTCTGAGCAGATACTCACATAGTTTTTCAATGACAACCCCTACTCAGTTCAGAATTAAGATTCCTTGTAACAGCTCCAAGGAGAATTGTTTATGGATAAACTGTATGCACAAACTATGCTGGGCGTTGGAGATCCTGATAAAAAAATATCTACCAAAACTCAAGGGGACCATTGCAAATACAAAATTAATATACCAGCTCTATGACCGTAGGCTTTTTGTTTTAAAATTTTTATATAAAGCCCTTCTACTAGTCTCCCAGAACAATTGATAAAATATTATTTTACACCCACCCACTCACCAATGTGGTATAATCTGGCATCAAAAAGATAGAAATGATCCCTCTTTGGCCCTCTGGGTTTTTGGCTGCTTGAGATAATACATCTGGAATCTGATTGAACTGGTAGATCAACCCAACTTCAAAACAATTACAGGATAGCCTTTTTTGCTAACTAATATAGTGCCAGATAGACCGTGTGATACCCACTCTGTGTTCTCCATTTCTTTCTCACTGCTTCTCTGCAACTGCCTCTTCTCCCCTTAAGAGTAAACTGGTCCTGCTGTCCACAAACACTTGGGTGAGAATCATATCTGCTGTTCACTCCACCACAATCCTCACAACTCTCCACCACAACCCACTCTACAACAACCTCAGCCCTCTTTGAGAATCATATCTGTTGGTCACTCCACCACAACCCTCTCTCTGTTAAATACCCTGTTCACACATCTAATTTAGCACTGCAAATAAAAATGAGCCTTCCTGAGGTAATATTTGATGCAGCTCAAATATCCATAACTACATATATTTTTAAATGCCAAAGCAGTGGTAAGCTCTTATTTTGGAAGCAAGGCAATTTCAAACTTTCACCTCTGTTTTAAAATAGGATGAGCTGAAGGCAGAACTGGTTTAGCCAACCAATCTCTGGGTAATAAGCACATGAGGATTTCTGCCTGTTAGTTTTTCATTCGTTTTCATTCAGAACTTCTTTTCCTCAAAAGAATTGCAAAAAAAATGGTTTTGGTAATTCAGAAATCACTTTTGGCATGGAAGGACTTGAGCTTTGCTAGTTGAGATACAGTACTGGGAAGATAAATCTTTGAACACTTACCAGTAGACGATTTTATATCAGGCACTTGATGGTGATACTTAAAAAGAAAATCTGATCTTCAAGTCCACATGACTGTATTTAAAAGAAACACAGATAAGGAGCTGGGATGACTTCTCAGTGATCTCTGCGTTACCTCCATCAAAACCAGTGACTATCTGGTGTTCCATCTAGAGTTTGTGTTTCCTAGTTTGGAGAAGCACAGAGCAGACAAAGCAAATTCCATAACTCAGGAATAAATAACCAGTGGTGTCCCTGAGAAGTCACCAAAGTTTCATCGCATTTGAATCCAAAGGAGAATTTTTCCATTCCTGCCTCAGAATTAGAAATAGGTTTGGATGAGCATCTGAAGATTCAGGTTTGAATTCTCATCCTTTCTCAGGGCTCACTAGTGACTTCAGACCAGTCACATTTCTCAACCTAACCTATTTTAAACAAGAAGGCTAAACCACCTTGACTTTGGTAGAAGAATGACCCAATGGAAATGTAACAAATGAACAAAGCAAGGTTTTTATGTACAGTTGTACAATTGTAGTACAAAACAGTGATTTTCAGCTACTAAGGTAAGGACTTTCCTGAAGGCCAGGAAACAGCTTCTGAGGGTGTCAAGGCTTAACTAAGTAAGTCTGTCAAGTAAACAGGTCCCAAATGCAAGACTGAGATAAGAAATTGTGGTTTGATTGTTCCTTATTCATTCTGCCCATCTATAGAGTATGCTCTAGCCTTCTAGCACATCGGGATTCACAGCAATTTAATTGCCTCATGAAGGTCTGCTTTTCCAACATTAGAAAAGGAAGCACCTGGTGGATTTCAAGATTTACATTCTGCAGAACAGAAATAAATGGTTAGAGTGACCTTATTAACTACCGCTCCCATGGGGATAGTCATTTCCTGGTGCAAAAAGCAAGAACTGAGAAACTGGGCCATCAGAAATAATTATGTGTAAAGCTGTTACCCCGTAAGATAGAATTACCTGAGGAAAAAAAGAATTAAGTATGAATCAGCCTAAGATTTAGCCGGTGGGAAAATCCGTAAAGATAGATTCTACTGCCCTCTTGTGAAACTTGTTCCTAGTGAAAGCTCTGGACTCTGAAAGTGGGGGAAGAGCTGTTGTCTAAGATGCAGAAACTCACAACCACAACTGCCCCTTAGAAAAATGCTCAAGGTGGCAAGAGAAAAGAGGAAGACATCAAAAGCTGGCCTGTTGTGATATAATGGCATCTACTTCTGTAAGCTCCAGTACAGACAGTCCTCGACTTACGAGAGTTCATTTAGTGGCCGTTCAAAGTTACAACGGCACTGAAAAAAGTGACGTATGAGCGTTTTTCACAGTCACAACTTTTGCAGCATCCCCCTGATCATGGGATCAAAATTCAAACGCTTGGCAACCGGCTCGTATTTGTGACCGTTGCTGTGTCCCAAGGTCATATGATCACTTTTTGTGATCTTGTCACAAGCAAAGTCAATGGGGAAGCCAGATTCACTTAACAACTGGGTTACTGTTGTTCATTTAACAACTGTGACAAGAAAGGTTGTAAAATCAGGCAAAGCTCACTTAACAAATGTTTCACTTAACAACAGAAATGTTGGGCTCAATTTTGGTCATAAGTTGAGGACCACCTGTGCTGAGATAATTCAGTTTTCCTGATCCTTACTCTACTGCAACCTCTTGACACCCCAGGAATCTTTCTCAGCATTGCCTATCTATCTCCAAGTGAGGAGTGTAACGCTGTCAGCCCCAGGATCAGAGGTATCTCCCAAAACATGTTTGTGCCCCCCCCCCCGAATCCTTTCAAAATTTACCTCTGAACTGTAAAGTCTATTTAGCTAAAATCCACATTCTTGAATATATAAGGACTAAGGAGTTAATTGCATGACATGAATTTCTAATACTACTTAAATTCATTCAAGGTTCCCCCCTCAATTAACTCAGTTCTTTTATCTGACATAACCCCCTTTTCTGAATCTAAATCCAGCATGCCAATCCAGTACTAGCCAAGTGTTACTCTTGACCTAATGAAAGTGGTGCACCCCTGCTTTAAATACTTGGTCTGCTCTTGGTTTCCTGTTGGGGCAGGGCCAAGATGTGGTGGCCTATTACCATGACAAAGGAGCAGAACTGTCATGGCAACAGGAAATGTTCTACTTGTTCCCTGAAGTTCTACCCCAGGTGGCTACAGCTTCAGAAAATGGTGTCGGTCTTATCTCCCCAGGATAACTGGAATCAGAAACCAATGATGCGTTTGAGGAGCAGATGTGTTCATCTGTGCTTCTTTAAAAAAAAGAAGCATTGGTCGCCTGACTTTATTCATTATATTATATTTACAATGCAGTTTCCATCATGGATAAGGGGGTTCACAGATAGTAGGTTAGTCTTCCATCTAGGCATTAACCAGATTCAGATGTTCAGCACCATGTATGTTCAAAACCATATATTGAGACAAGATATCAGCACTATAGTTTGGTTACCTCTGGAATCTAACCCATCCCATCCCACATACTAGCTGAGCTCTGATTTCCTGGACTTAATGATTGTCCTCACCTAGTCCCATTCTTTTCCCATGAAATTCAGAAGAACCCTCTGAATATCTCCTGTACCTCCCATAGATGTTCCCACTAATCTACGTCTTGCACTAGACAATGAGTATCCTGATAAGTCTTTATTCAGTCCAGTAATGGAGGGAATCAACTGGAAAAAGGCAAATTTAGTCCTTGTTCCAGGGAAAAGTGACACTTAAATCTTTTAGACGCTCCTGGGAGATTTGGTCAAAACATTCACTCTGTGCCTTAGTCAGGTGGTTCTTCCAATCTCCAGAAATCCCTAGAAACCAAAACATAAAATAATAACTCATTAGAGTCAGACATGGTGGGGGAAAGTATTCTATGGCAGGGCTTTTCAACCGATGGTGTGCATACCACCGGTGGTACTTTAGCACCTGGCAGATGGTACATGACCTCTAGCCAAGTGTAGTGGGGGAGGGAATGAGCTAAAGTGGCGCCACACAGGCCTGGAGGAGACCAGCTGGAGCTGCAGGGCTCGGCAAAAGTCCCAGGACCTGCGCACTTGGCTGCATACTGTTTGGAGCGT